ATGATTGCCTGCCTGAGTAGCTTACAGACTCTGCGACCTCTAGCCACCGATCATTCCCGAAGATTCGAGAATCCATACGGAACACGAGTCTCATTCTCGCTTCATGTATATTCAAAGGTTTTCGGTGCTTGCGTATTATGGATACTTGCTGATCGAGAAATGATTCTCTCAAACCTTCGGCTTGAAGACCAGCGATACTTTTTCATTTCGATGAGAAAGCAAAAGTTCATCCGCACATAATCTGTCCTGAGTCCTGACTGAGTGGAAACGGAACCTAATCCCCGGAGCGGGGATCTCCGAGCAACGAATCGAGAGATCAGCGGAAACTAGGACCTTGTCCTCAAGTGGTCGACACTAACAGGACGGAATCGGTGGTTGCTCGGCATATTCAACATTCGAGAGTTGATGAAGTCCGAACGCCCGCTGGACCTTCTTAACAGAGCCCGTCGGGTGGAAACCCGCTCTCGGAAATTCCCATAGGCGAACACCATCTTCAAGGGCTAATTCTGAGTTGTCGATAAGCTCCTTGAAGTTCAATCGAGATTCCCTCGTTCTCCAATTGTGGTGGCTCATCTTTTCTTTATTCAGTTTTCCATAAATATTGACTTCGGTCCCGTCTCCTCGGACGGTGTCGTCAAAGGGAAGGTGTTCCGTGGAGAATCGGTAGATATGCTCAAGCCTTTCGGAGAGGAACTTTGGCTGAAACATGAGCTGGTTGAGCTCAGCATTTTCGGGGCCGTTTCCGTTCTTGTTTGGACGGTCGGTCTCTGGCTCAGCGTCCGAAACGCGATCAGATTGTACAGAGATCCGGATTGAAGCCAAACAGAAACTCCTCTGAGAATAATCGATCGTCACTCCTCACTTCAGGGAAGTGTGAATTTAGTTTTCTCCGACGGATGGTCCAGATCGAGAGCTATTTCGGTACAGCACTCAACAAACACTATCACCGTATTTATAGGAAAGGCCGCCGTCGCCGCTTCCGAGGTCCTTAGTATTTATAGTACGAGCACAAACCGTAGCAGCAGCAGTAGCGGCGCGAACGGCTCTTGCGGCAACACCGAATCTCCACGCGGCGGTCACTATGTAGTCTGAACTTTGCCCTATGCCGAGAAGCTGACTGCTCGAAATGGCAGACGAACACGTCCAGAGCAAAATCTTGACCCACTTCTATCAATGAGAGACGTCGCCACGTTCCAATGAGATGCGGCCACCGGCTGCGTGACAAGCGGGACATCGAGCTCAGATTAATTGAAGAGAAGAATAAATAAATATTTGAGGTCATCCCATCGAGGGACGGTAGAGCGGTGTCCGTCATTGTGTAGCGGGTCTCGCGTCCCGCAAGTCCTGGATGAGGATATCGAGCCTGGATGGGGATGCCATCTGCTCACAGAAACTCCGTCAGACGCCTGGCTGTCTCGGTTAAGGATCAGTTGCAGGAGTCTTACCCTCGAACATGGTTCCGATTCGCCATCCAGGTTCCGAAAATCGACTCCGAGTCTGATCCCGCGATTTGAGCCCCATGTGGCAGCCAGCTTCCTCGTGGGTCACGATGCCCGAGAGGCCGATTCCCGTCCGCTGGGATCGGAATTTTTTCGCCATTGGAGTCCCCCTCACGCTCTTGAGCTTCTGAGGGGGAGTTTCCGGTGAGCCTTCTAGGCGGCATCGTTCCCCCCTGGAATGGGCTCTGAATCTCCGTTGTTTGGCGCGGGAAGTTTCCATGTCCCGATGATTTCTCATTGCTCTCCGGATCTCCACTTTGTGAGTATGCGTGCAGACGTTGAGAGTGACAGAGATAATCACATCACGTGACAGGGACGTGGCCAGAAAGAGCGAATCTTCGTCGGATGGGCAAGGAGGGACAGTTCCGAGCTCAGTGAGAAGAGGCTCCAAGATAAGGGAATAATGGCGAATCGGCAGCGGGAGAGAAGGGATCTGCTGGGACCGACAAGGCGCGTCTTTCTTGCGACGAAAGTAATCATTCGGAATTAGATAGAAGATGTGTCGGGGCTGCGAGTAGACTGTCTGGTAACTCTTTATTCCTCCGTCTGTTTCTCTCTGGCCCTCTTCTCCTCTCTCGCCGATTCCCTCCTACTGTTCCCCTGCACTCAGTCGGTCTCTCCCAATAACAACGACGACCGTGCCAAAAATGACACAAAAAAAGCATATTTCATGCGACCAACGGTGGGGTTTTCGAAAGTCGGGAATCAAGCACAGTTCGGAGGATCGGGCGCGAAATCGCGGTATCTATAGGTGGAAGAGCCTTCTCCGACAACCTTCCGGCTCAAAAATATCCTCCCCATCTGAATTCCCTCGAATCCCGGCTCTCCTGGCTGCATCTCTGAGTCTGACGGAATCCACGTTAGAATCGAAGTTCGTGGAACCGCGACAAAAATGAAGGCAACGGGAGCAGATTCGTCAGAAATCTTGAGTATCTTGGGCATCGTTCGAGTCACCCACGGAAACGACCAGTACCGAGGTCAGTCGAGAATTGCGGCCATTGTCACGGACATGGAGACAGCAGGACTTTTGTCCGAATAATCTAAATGCACATAAGAGTCATCGTCTGTCCAGTGTCCCGCTCGATTCCGTGAGTTCGGAGGAGGCCGAGTGTATATTGGGCCGTCTCTATGTTTGTTGCGTCCAGAGCGCTGTTCATTCTGGGGGTTTCAGCAGCAGGGTCCCGTCGGAAACTTCCGGAGGTCTCATGATTGATCATTATTTCATAGGAATTTCATTGCTCCTCGCCCCGATTTCCTTTCTCTCGATCAGAAGCTTGCGAGTAGTGAATATGTTTTTGCGATATGTATCGCGACTGTCCGTCTTATGTAGGGTGCACGGAATCGTCACAGGATGTTTTATTCTTCCTCCCAACAGAATTATTCGATTGCGAGCCGTCGACGACGTTCCTCCGTTGATGTTTCTTGATTTTTCGTCGCTCACAGACACGACGTTTCCCCGAGATTTCGCCACGGGATCAGATGCGGCTTGGAAAGATGTGGAAGGGAAACGAAAGAGAAGACCAGAGTGGAAATATTAGACCATAAGTTCCAGGGAGCTTGATCGAAGCCGTCAAGATAAACGGCGGATTTATATTCATTTACGGCTCCAAGCGATAACAGCGACTCTCTCTAGCGGATGGTAAAAACTCGTATAGTATCCCTCCGGAATGTTGCGTGGCGCGGGATATCGGGGAACAGACGACAACGAGGAATGCCGCCTGCTTTTCTCGAAATTAAAATCATCCTTGGCCTCTTCAGGCGCGGCATTCGTCGTTGTCAAACGTTTTCTTGGGAAACTTCAAACCCTCCGCCCCCGCTGGGACTTGTCGGACCCTAATCTGGCGCGAATCTTTTTTGAAACGATGCGAAGGAGAAGAAAGCCGAACGATGACCTAAAAAATAAACGGAAGGAAGGGGTTTATAGCTTTCGAGTACCGCATACGAGTTCCTCGCAGCAGCGAGCGAAACAGTAGTTGAAGCATCGATGACCCCGGAAGAACCCTTAGTTGAACACGTAGGAGATTTCCGGAGGGGAAACTTCTCCCAGAAACCATCGGCTTCAGAGTCGGAAGCTGAACCTTCATTCCGTAAAGATTCGATGTCACCGCTCAATTCAATTTCGGTGAAGCTTCTGGGAAGATCCTGGACGTCAACACGAAAAATTTTCTGTGAGCAGAGCTGAGGGATTCGTTTGTTGCGACAATCGCAGTCAGCAGAGGATCAGGCCGAAGAGCTCGCAGGTCGTGAAAAATTTACAATGTCCGATGCGAATTACATCGTGCGTCGATAGTATTGACTTTTCTGATCTGACCAGATCTCTCCGCTGCTCGCTGTCGATAGGTAGAAGGTTTGGTGCGTGCCGTTGGTTGGCTGGCTGGCTGGCTGCCTGTCTGTTTGCGCGCATGTTTGCAGCTGCTTCCCGAATCGGCTTCGATACAAAGGCCGGAAAGATGTTGGGATACACAAGCGTTAAGAGCAAATATTGAAACTCTCTTTTGTGGTGTTCGCGGTCCGGCGACTCGCTGCCACCAGAATTCTGCTTGCCTCGGGGATCTACCCGCGCCTCTCTGTGACTGGCATTCGCGCTGGAATCGACCGTCGAGAGACGACAGACGGACATCGGAGTCAAAGCGGAAGAGCTTCTTCAATTGATTGCTTCCTTGACAGAAACGGTGGGATACGGGGTTGGTTGCTGGTGAGCGGGCGGCTGAGCGGGGAAACGTGACAGTAGGCGGAGCCTTGCGACGTCCAACGGAAGCTTTTCCCCCGCGGAGAAAGCAACATGATGACCTTCGGTGCGAGACTGATATCACCGGAATGAAAATCCTGTACGATTCTCTTCCCTCCGCTTGAACTCTTGCAGAAAACACGGCGCGTGTTCCCCGTGCAGAAGAGACCAGGGGGGCTAGAATGGCGATTTTTCCGTTCCACGATCGGACGGTGAGACAAGCTCGCGGTACCAAGGAACCGCAAGCGAGGCTCAGGGCGAAATCGTGAAAGCTGGTCCTCGAGCTAGCCTTCCGATAGCCTCGCCTCCGAGGGAATCAATGTGTCTTTGCCGAATGGCTGCTTTGACTCTGGGACATCGCGAAGCCATTAATATCCATGCGCAACCTCGGAGGCAGATCACTTGCACGACAGCAGACACTTGTGGCTCGTTTCCCGAAGCTTTGGTGATAACAGCCGACAATCGAGCGGCCTAGATGCGGTCTTGATTCAAACGACTCGCTAATGGATGAGACAAATGTGCTGCTCAGAAAGCATTCATAATGGTCTTTGGGAGAACCCGTGAACGACATAGATTGCTCACTCTTTATCGTCTGCGGTTTTCGCGCAAGAGAAATCTCTTGCGCTTCCATGGGCAGGCGCTCGATGGTATTAATCCTTCCCTATTCGTGCGGGTCAGCTCCTCGGGAGTTCCAGCTCGACTTTCCGTTGAAGATTCCATGGGGGGGGGGTCTCGATTCCATCACTAAAGCGTTTCGTTCTCTCTTTTTCCAGCCGGTGAGTCCTCAGAGGTCGCCCGTTTCCAGTCATCCTCTGGGCGTCGCTCTTGGCGGCATGGGCGGTCCCCCGCGGATGCAGCGATCTCGATCCTCTCGAGTTCGCCCGGGGACTCAGTCACCTCGGGTTTCGCATAAGGCCTATCCGTTCCCCAACGCTGACACGTTCACCGCAACGGCAAATGTGATACAACCAAGTACAAACCATGGTGAGTAACAGTTCGACGTATTTGGTCGTCCGCGTGTTTCGTAGCTTCTTTCGACACGCTGACGATGTTGTCTCTGTCAGACCGTCGCAGACGGACGTGGATCACTACGCTGCCGTCTTGTGATTATCCGAGGAGCCAAGGGGGAGAGCGTTGCCTGAGCTAAATGGGATGAACGGCGCTCGTATGTCACTTAGCTGCGAGGACTAAGTATTTTCCGTTGTCTTCCTTTTTCCATTTTCGCGTCGCCATCCCTTAATTCGGTCGGTCGCTCGCTCGCTCTTGTCGTATTCGACAGAACAGTACGGTCGGAGGCGGCCGAGAGAACTGTCACGACGGTCCACCGACCGCTCGGACGGACCGACGGAAAGCGGTCACCGGCCGTACATGGCGACCGGGAACACGAAGAGCTACGGAGACCCATTGTCTCATCGATGGTCGGCGGCAAATAATCGGAAATCACATGTCTGCGCGTATTGGGCAACAACAAAGGATTGGTGTCAAGGAGCCACTACCCTTTGTACTCGTGTGTTGTGCCGCCGGTGCTCGCCGGTCGGTTGTGATGTGTTTTCTCGCATCGCATCGAGAACACGAGGTCGTTCCGCGCGCCCACAAAAGAGTCTCGTCTACGGATGAATTAACCTGCCTTCGCCGCCTTATTGGGAGCTTTAAACGGAGTAAATTGCGTGGCTTCGGGTAACAGAAGCACCGACGACGCGAAGATTGAGAGAAGAGGAGCGTCCAGTGCTTTGCGGCTCGGGGCTATTTCACTTACGAGTGAGGGATTTCCGCAAAGCAATCGGCTCGAAGAAAAAAACCCAACCATCGGTTGGTGGGCTTAGCGACATCACACCAAGTGAACATACAGTGTGAAAACAGTGCAGTTTCGCCTGTGTGGCCGAGAGAGCCACGTTTTATGGTCTCGCTTTCGGCCTGCGGCGGAGAAAAAGCTCTGCGATCATGACTGGATGTGAATCTCCCGACGCGACGGTCTGCACACGCCATACTCTCGAGTGTGCATGCAACTCACGCAGCACATTCGCCAGAAACAGCGGTGGGCAATATTTGTCCATAGCTTGCTAATGCGTCTGTTGATGGCCACAGCCGTCGGCGACGCTGTGACTTCTGCGGGCGAAATAATTATTATCTGTCTGGGGCTTCCTGATTCATTTCGTGACCTGCTCATCCCTCAGGGGGTACCGTCCTCGCGCGGACAACTGTGGAGTTTGGCTGGGGAGTTCCTCGTCAGTCGAGAAGCGAAATGCGAAAATGCGGGAACGCGTGTCTCGGTCGCCGGTTTTCATTTATAGAGGAGGCGAGAATGCGACAAGCGAACTCTCAACCCTTAAGCCAGGACGTGACCGCCCTGATCGCGTCTAGTCCGAAGTTCCCGACAGGGAAAAAGTGCAGCGCAGGTTTCCGGTTTTTCCGTGCTGACCAAAATGAATCGGAGGTCTATTCAACTGCCCTATCCAAGACGTGCGGTAAACAAAAGCGAGGAAGAGATGTTGTTTCCCTGTTCCAGGTCAGCGTGACCTCGGAACGTCGAATTCCGCTGGAGAGCGTTTTGGAATTCGAAGACCGCCGCTGTTTTTGTTATTGGTGCACATAGCATTGAGATCGACGCCGTACTCTTATAAATTCGGCTCATGATGAATCCTTTGTTATCTCTCTACTTCTTGCCGTCGCACTTGTTGTTCCTGTCGCCGAATCAAGGTCGGGGTCACATTAGTCGTCTGGGTCTGGGCTCCCTCGCATACACTCATCCAATTATGGTTTGTACCCACCTCACCGGCTCTCTTGCCTCGTGGGGGTTCCGGTTCTCACGCTCTCGAGCAGACCGGCTCCTGATCCTCCGACTGCATGGAACTGCTGTTGCGCTTCGTTGCCAGCGCTGCTGTTGCGCTTCGTTGCCAGCGCTGCTGCCCCTGCTTCGACATAACCATGTTGTTTCCATTCCATAGGCAAGGACCAAAGCGCAACCGCGACGGGACGCGGGCAGCGATACAGCATTGACTACACAACTCTCACGGAAATCGACCGGATGAGGGCTTCGCAACAGGTGCGTGTTTCCGCGTCTTCTGTTTTCCCTTTGTTCCTATCTGATCGTCGTGATCATAAACATCCTCGCAAGTCCATCGATGCCGAGATCTCAACCTCAGACACGGATCTCCATCTCGAAGGCTCGAGAACGGACCAATAAAAATTATTGAGCTCTACTTTCGGAAAGTTCCAAACACTCATTCATAATACATACGTGCTTATTCCACAAGTAGCATTCGAGCTTGACGAGCACCGAAGGCTGCGACTCGCAGTCTGAGCGCTCTAAGCTACGGGGCGGAGTGGCTTGCCGGCCAACCTCAGGGAATAAATATACAACGACTGGCCGTCGCGAAGCTTCCGCTGACTGGGCGTCAGTCCGTCTGTCCGCTCTGGGTGGCAAGTCTGCAGCGGCGACAAGCCGACGATGATGGACCATCAGTCACACGTCGGGAAACGGCTTTGACCTGAGATTGATCTTACTCGACGTAACCGCGAAGTCTCTCGGACACTGCTGTCACTTGAAGAGCTTCTCCTAGATTCTATTTGTAACTTCGAAGCCACACCGGATCCTCAGAGTAGGCAGCTCATCTTGTGCGGACGGCTCAAGCGCGCGTTGAATTCGCGAGGAACCGCGGGTTAGAGTTCCGCTCGTTGAGCGTCCCCGATAGGAGATGCTGACGTTTTTCGAAAGCTGCGACTTCACGAGACTATAGTACTGAGCGTCGTCGGACGTGTTTTTTGATGAGCTTCGTACCGACTGAGGTCGCGTGGGAGACCGTAGAGCTGTCACGTATTATAGAACTCAAAAGCATCCCATCTGCCCGTTTCAATGCGGGTGGAGTTCTAACGATAGGACAGGATTGAGAAATAATCCGCTAGGCTTCTCCGGGGTTCGTCTCCGGGAGCCGACCGCCTTCGGGGCGCGCTACTTGGGAATGCTTTCGGAGGGCCTATGATGCTTACGAAATGACGGCGGGTGTATGTTTTCGAAGTCGATGGTTCTGTGTCAAGGTTTTTTGTGACGTCTCAGATGTGATATTTCATCTCCAATATCGTGAGATGTATCCGCCTGTCGTCGGAAGATCTCCCTGTTGTTCATTCCATTTCCATACACTCCGTTCGGTATCTCAGCCGGCTCGAGTCGAAGCATAAATTTCGATTCTGCCTCTGAGCCTTTGCTAACGATCTCAGCGCTGCCGGATCCCTGAACACATAAACACATTTTTCATTCGGTGCTGCTCTCTGCTTCGCAAAATGCTCAGATGGCGAACGAGCCGCCGGCCGAAGGACTGATAGTCAGATGGACCGGGCACGCAGGCAGCCAACCAGCCAGAGAGCCGGACGAGCTTGTTGGCAAACGAGCGAGGGACTGACTGACGAAGCGGATAGAGAAACGGCCGAACCAATGATTCGGTGATCGGGATAGGCCGTGCTTGCTTCCGTTGCGGCTGCGAGGTTCGTATGAGCGACCGGTGGCACCGAAACTCTCGGCCAGTCGAGAGCGCTACTGCTCTAATGCACAGCGTAGTATGACATCATGCATCGAGTCAATCAGAATGTCTGATGGAGAAGTTCCTTTCGGCGTTCCGCAATGCGCGGACGCACCATGCACGAGGGCGGTTGTCAATGATACCGGGAAGGTGGTCTGGTGGCAGCCGCGAGGGGCATTTCGAGCTCGGGAAAAGCGTTTGACTTCCTGAAACGCCCCTCCCGCTCTGCTTCGCGATTCATCCTCGTGAGTTACCACCCGATTCCCTCGTGGACAAACGTCATCCGGACGGGAGCCCGCATTCTGGGTCGAGAGCTCCAAGTTCACATTTCGATCGAATCTCCATTCGCTCGATCGCATCGTGTGTTTTGATGAAGCGATTGATTGACTGGCGTTCGATATCGAGCTCGCTCAGAAACCCGACGGGAAAACGGAACGCTCTCGGTTAATCTCTGATGGTCCTCCAGGAATTTATCTGCCCACCTGCTCGATAGATTTCGGTGCTCCCATCGTCGTTTTTCCAACGCCCGCGGTCGAAACCCACAGCAAACGCAAATCGATTGAGACGTAAGATAGCTCCGGATCCAGCCTTCCAGATAAGTTCTTCTAGAACTCCCGATTTCCTGTCGTGTCACGTGGCAGCGTTAGTCAAACAAGATTGAGATACATATGCGAAGCGGCTAAAGGAGCAGACAGTCAGCGTTCCGCGAGTTAGGACCGGACGCTCCCAACCAAAGCTGAAGGCGGAACATCGACACTTCCGAGATCGTCTCTCGATAGATGAGGAAGAAATACTCCAACGGACCCCGTAATCACCGTTGCAATCCCACATGCACCCCCGGTTCGGCGACGTCCGTCCTTCACTCACGGAGGATTAAGGCAATATATCGAGTCGCGCAGCTCTTTCCATTTGCTGCACTCGAGGTACTTCTTCGAGGGGTTTCGCAAATCCAAGGCGATACGTCAAACGTTTCATGCTTCGTAGGCTACGTAAATCTTTCCTTTCGCCGAACCCAATCTCGGATTCGCGAGCTGTGCAGATTTCTGGCGGGTCTCCAGGGTATTCCGGAGACGTTCGGACATTTTCGATTGTATGCGATATCTCGACGACTGCTCTGAGACCAGCATGGAAATCCAGAAAACTCTATTCAGATCGCTCGTTAGACTTGCAGATGAACGTTTTCTGTCGTGGGTCCAATCACGAGCGGGGATATGATTTAGATCCGATGGCACAGAAGACTCTGCTTCTGACGGGGAATCGCAAGCGATGACAGCGTCCTCTTTTTGCCAGTCGACCAGGAGAAATTCGGTGATCCCGAGCGAGAAACTCCCGGGATCGTCGACTTCCGGATCCCCGTTTCGGCTCCCGCGCGTGCGAGGCGAGGCGGAGATCGGGCTGATCGTTCGTAAGCGAGGATCTTCGTCGAATCGTCGAAACCACTTGAAGCATTAGTGCTGATAAGAATCGAAATCGCTTCCTCAATGGGAATCACTCTCTTGGGAACTATCAACGGGGACTGTTGCGTGACGCCGTTCTCACGCACCTCCCTCGGTAGCGGTGAACATCCTTCCCGTCGGTGCTCAGCCCCTGGTCATCTCGAGTCTTGGTCGTCCGATCATCACAGCTTGAGTCAAGGGGTGGGACTTCGCGACGATTTCCGTCCGCGGTCCGAGCCTCGTGAGGCTTCCGAGTTCCACGGAACCGTTTGACCTTTTCGTACCTACTGGAAATCGGGATCCGCGCCCGGAATGAAGCTAGAATGAAGCTGCAGGGAAAAGGCTCGACCGACCTGGAATGAGCAACCATTGCGGCTCCGCCCACGGCAACCCGCGGAACTCTCAACACGGTCTCCGAGTACTATGGGAATTTGGGACACGCTTTGGAAATCGATCGAGATGTCTCTCAGAACGCGGACTGGCGGAGCTCAGCTTCCGGTAGTTGGCGAATCGCATTCAGGTCCGGAAAATCCAGGAATTGTAACGCTCCTCCTTTCCCGTCTTCCATTCAATCAACCGTCTATCGGCCTGAGTCCTGAGAGCATTCGAGTGTCCTTGCTGCTGCGAAGGTCCCGCGAACGTGAGCCCCGCGCCCTTTTCGGAAATAATCCCCACTTCTTTCCTCGCTAGAGCGGAGACACGTTTCCAGGGACGTTCGTTCGCGGTACTCGCATGTCGGGGATCACGCGATGCGGTCGTGACATTTCTCCTCGAGCTGTCGGGACACATTCAGGTTCCTCGGAGGTTTCCAGAACACCCACGCGTTTTTTAATTTCACGTCGAGAATCGGTGAGGATTCGAGGATGAAACGAGCCACGGTCCGGAGGAGGTACTGAAAGATCAGATTCACTCGATACGAGTCCCCCATCACCCACCTTCCGTTGCTCTGAGGAGTGGATGCGGCTGGACAGTTTCGTCATGAAGTTGTTCAGCCTTAGGGGGTAACATGGCGAAACGGCGGGGTGCTCTTTCCAATTAGGATGAGTACGTTCGCTTTGAGCAATGATTCGCAGGCGACTCCCGCTAACGAGGTGAGCGATTGGACTCGCGCGGTCCTCGACGAGGCTTCGAGGACGCGATTTTTTCCCTTCGAGTCCCGCAGGAAATCCATCCGGGGATAGCATTTTACCGCCAGATCTGGGGAGTTTTTGTTACTCGCTGATTTCCTTTGATGTGACGCTAATTTGATCATTTCCAGGTCGACGGCTGGGGGAAGAAGGATGCGTGGAGTTCCGCGAGCAGCGGAGGCCGGAGCGCCCCTCAAACCCCTCTTTGCAAAGGACGATCCACTAGGCGTTACCGCCACTCGGCAACTCGCAATTCCTTCCGACACAATGCGAATACGCAACCAGCGAATTCGACCAGCAATGCCAACAACAATCACTTAAACAATAATGCACTCACTCAACAGCACGGCAAGCAGGTTAGCAGAAGATTTTCCGTCCTGCCGTCGACGTGATCGGTGGAGGGTCAGCGCGAGGGAAATTTACGAGGGAGCTGTGTGGGCTAAGCGATTCTTTCTCCTCCATTCAGGCCGTCTCACCGATATTGTCGTCCCGCGCCCCGTTAGCGGCTGTGAGCTCGCTGACACTTGCCGGCGGTGGAGGTGGGGGTGCTGGCGGAGGAACAGCTGGCCTGTCAACATTGGATCCAAACCAAAACCACCCCAATTCGCCTTCTAGTCTCAGTCCCATTAGCCATTTGAGCCATCTTGGCCAGCCGCACCGTTCTGTAGGTCGTTCACAGTCTGTTCGGACTGCGAAGAGACCCCAGACCCTCGAAAACAGCACCAGGTACGCGATACTCGTAGGTATGAAGCGGAAGTTTAGTACGGAGCAGATCGGAGCTCGATTTCCTGTGAACCGCGGTTCAAAGTGCCCGAGGCGAGCCGAGATTCCGAGACTGGGACGTTCGTCGATGCTTGGAGTTCATCATTCTCAATTATCGTTCATACCGGATACAATCGGCCCTGGTGTAAGATATGACAAATCACAGACGTGCCGGCAGGAACCCGTGTCTCAAACTAGGTACGCATGCGTCTGCACATTCATTCAAGCGTGGACCCGACTCCGCTCGGGGGTCGGGGGGATCCGTTCTGGAGCGGGTGGTGATCGCAGCAGTTGCACCTGAACTAGCGAGCCCGCAACAATCGGCAGAGCGATATTCCGTCTTTCCTTCGGAGAATTGCGAAGCCCGGCGCCAGGGAACTTAAAATTAATCGAAGCCAATGCACGACGACTCGTTCCCGAGAGAAATTGATGGTCATGCCAACAGTTTTGTTCTTGTTCCTTGCGACGGTCACGCGATCCAGTGAGGATGCCAAAAATATAGAGGGCCTCCCGGGAGCCTCAACGCTTCACCCTCGCGCAAATGGAAATTCCATCTGGCGATTTCCCTTCGCTAATCTGCAGGTGGTTTTTCTCTCGTACGCGCTCGACGACGCTTGGGAGTTCTTCTAGATAAAATACGAATTTCGCGCTCCTGTAACAAAGATCGCCCTGCTAGTCGACTCCCTCCGATTCGTCTCAGTCTACCGACTGTTAGGGGTCGAGACCTGGCCCGAATCAGAGTATCGAATAGAAGTTTCGGCACTTGAAGTTCCTCGGGGTCCCACAATATGCTGCGCCCTGGAGGTAAATGAATGCCGTGTCGTGCTCCAGCAGGGAAGACCCCCAGTCCGACCTTGCGCGCCCGTCAACTATTTGTGAATTTAATATAGCGGAATATGACGGTGACTCCGGACAGCCCGCCGACCGCAATTCCACGGGATACGACGTCTCATCTGACTAACTTGCCCGGATGATGATATCACAACCTGGTGACGTGAAATGCTTCCTTCCAGATTCCGTCAACGGATCGCGTCCATACCCGGCGATCGCGCCGTCGTGGGAGGGGATTGGGAAGATCCCGCGGCTGGCGCCACTGCGGCATCGAACGCGTCGTCATCCAATAGCGTATACGGTAAATAGAAAACTTTGTACCGCTTTTCCATCTGTTTGCTGCCGTCGGCTGCCTCCCCGTAGGCCTTGTAGTTCGCTGCCTGGTACAGGAGACGAATACAAATATTTGGTGAGCCGAGATTCTCACCGACGAAGATGCCGACGGACAGTCCCTCGAGGCCAGATAACCTGACCGCCACGGCTCAGGCACGGCGGTTTCCCTCAATCGACGTTATCAGCACGAAGAAAATTTGGATTCCTTGAGGCCTCATTTCTAGGACCCGGACATTTCTCTTTCCCATCAAGCATTCGTCCACGAGAGAGCTAATTCTCTGTTGGTTGTGGGTCTCGAGTATGAATCTCGACTTCTCGTTCGTTCCCAGGAGCTGAGACCCAGGCTGCGACTGGCGAGGTTGAGGTGCAACGTCTGCGCAATTTCGCGGTGACGTCGAAGGGTGTGGTAAATCGAGGCGACTCGTTCCGCTCAAAAGCGAATCGATCAGCGAGTCTCCATCGGAATCACGCCTCCTCCCTCAACAGACTCAATGTACCCGCGAGCCGGCAACGCTCTGCAAGCGGTGGGTCCTACAACTGCATCGCTACACAGTCTGGCTCAAACCCTGAGCTACACACCGGTAAGTGCAGCTCCCTGACAAGTCGTAATACTTTCGCATCGATCATCGATCATCATGGCAACCACGCTGCCGATCGCACCACCGGTACCGCTACCGGTGAAGCCGTGGTGAACGCTACTGACCTCGAGCGACGTGATCGCGATTTGATCGAGTAAGCTGAATGATCAGACGTTTCAGGTGTGGTAGCCGGGCGTGGAAGAGATTTAGAAGTGTGTCCTTCACTTTCACAAGTGGTTCCGACCACAGCTCTATGCGCCTCGCTCTCAGATGGTAACAGGGTTATAAGTCAGTTGGAAGAGAGCGCCAGAATCGTCCTTGATGGCATTCACGGTCAATCAAACCCAGAAATCAGCATCGAAACCGGAGTAGATGACCTCCACACTCACGCAGAGGTGGGTGGCTTCACTCAGCTGTTTACTTCTCACGAGCGTAGTGGCACGAAACCTCGGTCGAAACTATCGGTGTCGATGATGAGCTGGGGCAATCGCCTTGTTTGGCTCAGGCTCAGCTCCCCCGACTCCGTGGAAGAGGAAGTAGGCTTGACTTCGTCTCGCTCGATTTCAGCCCGTAGAGGATGTAATTTGCTGTGAGCCGACACCAACGCGACGTTATCGGGTACTTGTCGTCGGAGCTCCGGAAGTAGGCAAAACCTCCCTCACTCGACAATTCACAACTTCAGAGTACATTTGTTCCTACGATAGCTCCATGGGTACGTAAATAATTCGGTCTTCTTTCGTGTACCTGTTATTTGTGCTGGCCCTATTCTGAATATCGGAGCTCCTCCAAGCCCTTGAATGGAACGCTCTCTTGCGATCCTCGGACTCGGTATTCCGCTTGCACTCTCTCTGTGTTCCCTGGGGCTCCGGAGGAGAAAGGGCTCAGTCGGTCGATGCAGTCGAAATCAGTTTCGCTTCACTGGTTTTATGACGCGATGGACGGCCGACGTCGGAGAGAAACACAGTTTATATAACGTCAAACATTGTTCGCTTGCAGACGAAGAACACGAGAAAGTCGTTCAGATCATTCTGAACGGCGAGGAATCAGAGCTCGTATTCATCGAACACAAATCTAGCGAAGCATTGGTGAGCCTCAATCGTTGCTGACAGACTCGACTTCCCACTCAGTCAGCATTGGGACTTTTGCCCGTGGGCTTTGAATTGGTGGTGGCAGATAGAGAGAATCTTCTACATGTGGAACGACCCTCCGTCCGCTCGTCCCCTCATTCGTTCCAGCGAATAAGAGTTCCGATACGAAAATAACATGTCGGCCGCTCTTCCACAGGGGAACCCAGTAACTGCGTACCAGCCGGACGCTTATCTCGTGGTCTTTTCAGTGACGTCGAAGAGTTCTTTCACGGCTGCCAAAGATTTCCTGCAGGTAGGTTGCAAAGTGATAGCCTCGCTTTCACGGGAGATACGGGTTGATGCTCCTTCCGAGGTTCCCGAGTACGTCAGCCAGCGGTACCGAAATAATAACGAAACTGCCCCGAATGCAGGTCATCCGCAAATGGGATAATATGGCAGCCCGCGCGATAATACTCGTCGCCAACAAGACAGATCTAGTTCGTCTCCGAGCTGTCTCGACAAGTGGTGAGGGATTTCAGTCTTGGCTTTGCCTCGTCCCTATTTTATCTCCTACCGATGAATTTTCCCGGTAACTCCTCCGTGCTGGCTCCTCTTCCCTGTTTGGATTTCTCGCTAACAGGGCTAACTTTTCAGAGGGACGCAGCTTCGCCAGCAGCGAAGGCATCAAATTCTGCGAAACGTCGGCTGGAATAAATCACAACGTAGATGAGCTTCTGGGTGGACTCCTGCACCAAATTCGACTAAAACAGCAGCAGGTAATGCCGAGAGCATCACTTTGAGCCGAGTGACGGCCGCATCGCTTTCCCTTCTGCCTTCGAATTCGCTGAACCTTCAAGCCGCGTGGAATCTTGTAGAATTTCGTTCTACGCAGAGGAGAGCGATCGGAAACGCCGTGAAGCCCCCAGTTCCCTTGTATTGCCTGTTCTCACCGGGAGGTCCCAAGGTAATCGTCGCCCTCTGTTCCAGTTGATCAAGCGAAGCGCGTCGCAGCGTAGTCAAAGCACCAGTTTGAAGGTCCTGCCATTGTTGAGAGCGAAGAATTCAGGGCCCCGAGGACCCCACGACAGCGAAGGCAATCTCCATCCGAAGCAGCCGCTGAGGGCAAAGATGTTCTTGAAGAAGATTCTTAGAAAGGCTTGTGGTACCTTCGGAACCTCCCACAGCAGCTGTGACAACCTCCACGTTTTATAGACTTGGAGAGATTCACCATTTTGGTTTCCGACAACGAGCGCGTGTCTTTACCGCGTTTCCCATAACTCAATCAATCGGATATTCCTCCCACCGCTCCCGAACACTTTCCCTCCGAATTCTTTCCGTAATGTCTACTCTCGGGGATGCGCTCATGCATGCTGTTCCAGCACGTTGGCCGTCACCGATCACCCCAAGACCGATGAGAAAAGGGAAATACACAAACTTTCATGGAACACTTTTTTGGGACCGACCAAAGGAACCGCTGTGCCAAATAGATCTTCTTCGGGATCACACCACGCCAAACAACGGGAAAATTCATTCATATCGCCTTGGAACAGCGATCCAGTCTGAGGGATAAACACCAAGGACCGGACGAGCGCCAATTTCGTAGGAGGGCAGGGGATCGAAAGGAATACTTCTAGTGCCGTTGAGGCGGCAACCTCCGACGGCAAGATAGATTATGATGATGAAGATGGTGGTGATGATGGTTATAATAGTGATCAAGGTTTATTCACGGTTATCCGACGCACTGAAGACTTCACTTAGATAGCGATTTCATCGATTGCTCTGGCGTTCCAGTGATTGATCGATGAAGCATCCATTCGTATGCGAACTGGAAAGTAGCGATTCAGAGACGCTGAACGAAAACGCAACGTTCAAATTAGGTAAAAGAGATCGCACTTTTGTACCCTCTTTTGCTCCAATCATTCTAGAAATCACTCACGTTCCCTCCTGTTACACATGAAGTCGATTCTCATCTATGAGGGAGCACTGGACTCGCAAACATCCAGAGTCGCTGCGCCATTGTCGGTCCTCGCGCGCGCTTTGAGTTTCCCTCACTTCGAAGCGGAACGAAGATTCACAGCGTCGTTTGAGTTGCTGTTTTCATAGGGCAACTTTTTTCCCGGGTACCGAAAACTCATTCTCTTTTATCAAACCTTATCCTTTCCGGTCAAAACCGTCTCCGCAGCAATTGCATCGCCAATGTAATCGAGTCCCATAGGACGCTCGTTTCGTAATCATTCTCTGACAACCTGATCGAAGTTGCCAACACACGCGAAATACCAGAGCCTACCCATGCATCAGAGGAAAATATCTTTTGCAAAACAACTCTAAACGAATACGTTCGGTATATCATGCTACTATTCCTGGAAGTAAATAGTTACGATGTAAAGTGATGATCGTGAGACTTAGGCAACGTCTGAGTGGTTCTCAACGTTCGGAATGTCTGCTTGCGGGTTTTTATCGACCTTCTGCGCTTCCCGCCATCGGAAGGAGATCATAGACTTGGAAGAGGATCAAGTTCCTAGGAACGCGATAATTCATCACTTGCAAACTGTCTAGGACCGCTCTTTCACACCTTCCCTTGATAAGTGCCAAAATGAAAGATAAGGCTGAGGGCGGACGAGGGAAAAGTTTCCATTCAAGCCTTGGCGGATCAGGGTCCATTATCCGTGACCCCTGTAGAGTCTTCCTCTTTGGAAGGTGATGAGGGCCGGAGTTGGAAGTTCCACAGGGAAAGATACTCACGGAAGTACCGAGAAAGACGATTTGTCAGGTTTTGTATATTCCATACATCGAAGACTCTGAAAAAATATTAAATAGACAAAAAAATCACTCGATATTGCTACATACCGACAAAAATGAGATAGAGAAAAATTGATGTACGAATGGAACCATCATCTTCTCAGATAGAATTCAAGCTAAGCGCTAGTCAGCTTGAGGTAAAAATAATGTTTTCGAAGCAGCAATATCATCACACTCGAGGAACAGAATCACCATTGTTTTCAACGACACTCATGCAATAACTCATTTCTCCGGTCATGGGTCATGGATGACGCTCTGAAATCACTCGAATAATGAACATCATTCGATACGTGGAACGTACACGATATTTTCTGATCATTTTATCAGGATGGAGGTTCGACAACAAGTGGGATCCGAGACTTCCCCCGGGATGTGATGAGTAAATCCATCAGATGGCCGATGTGAGTCCGCCGCGGGGGATCATCAGTTCACGATTTGTTGCGTTTAGAATGAACGAACGATTAGCAGATAACTTGTTCATAGCCGGTCATATTGGAGTAGGTTTCGGTCGCCTTTAAACGGACTGACAGTTTCTAATAAAGCATTTATCTTTCAATGTGTTGACCCGTGTACAGAACTGTTGTCTTCCTTAATCGAGCTCGGAGCCCCACAGGAAAAGAGCTTTGCGTACATGTATCCCCTTGGTCTGAGCAGCTGCGGAGCGCCACTGCGGTATGATATCATATGGGAGATCAGAGTCCCGCTTGGATCTTCCCGAGGATGTTCTTCCGGTCTTTCCAGCTCCGTGAAATACCACTGACTGTATGTGAGGGGGTTGGCTGATCGCTGATCCGAGTGAGCGGCAAAGGAGTCGGAGACGTGAACAAGAAGTCTCATTGTCTCTCACGATTCGGACTTCTTTCGGCGCCTCAGGGAAGCCCCGTCTGGCTTGGTGGACCAAATTTGCCGATGCTCCTTGGCCGACTCCCGGAGAGAATTAGACGAATCCGAGAAATTCCGGTCGCGCATTCCCTTCTCAGAAGTTCTCGCGCATTAAGAAAATTCAATCCGTAATCCCTTATTTAGAATCGAGAGGAATTTTTAAGGAAAGATTTCTTTCGAAGGTAGCGCTTCTCATACGCGGGACTACAGGGTTCCAGAGCACACGACCGCGATTATAGGATTCAGGAGTTCGACTTCCCTCCCGAGTCGTGAGACTGAAGGAGTGCGCCTCTGACGCCCGCAGCTCATCTGGAGATCCGCCACCAACTCGGAACGATAGTCTCTCTTCTCGGGCGCTTACATGGTGCCCCTCCTTCATCCCTTCGTTCAAGACGGGACCCCATCGGGGAGAACGGGGGATTCAAACGGGAAATGCGGAAGATCCACGAAGGAATGAGGTATTTCTAGTCGATGGGATATGCAGTGAAAATCACGTTCCGTCACATGACTGGCCTCGAGGACTCGTCCAGCGATGGATCCCGCAGATTCGCGCAGGGTTCACTCTCAGAGAAATCTCGATTCACTTGTCGCCTAAGTCAAAGTCTGCATCGGCGAAGGCTGAATGAAGCCCGATCGAGTTCGAGAACTTCTTTTAGGTCGCGGTGAATTTGCAAGATCAGGAAAGTTATCAGGGTGGCCCATGCTCGCTACGCAATCGCCCTGCGTCGAGAGAGTCCGCCGATAAAAACTCAGTGGAATTCCATGAATGTTCGAGGCATAGCTCTTGGGATCATTGTTTACTTTCCGTCTACATACATTGTCGCACAGGGACGCTGCGCGGGACCGCACTCGAAGTAAGCGAGGAATGCCTAATGAGTTCCAAACCCTGGAAGAGTCTCTTAATGCCTTTGGATTTCAAGGCGTTGCGAATAATTTGCGTGCGTTCTATTCCTTCACAGCGGGAGCGTACCCCGAGAGGAAAACGCTGCGGAAAACTTCTCCTACCCGTGATGGGGCCCGAGAACTATACATACTGCGCGGGTAAAGCTCATCCTAGGATCATCGACCTTCTACGCGTTCTCACCCACTGAGCCATCTTTCGTCCTCCCTCCCCTGTATCCCCCCCTATAATAAAAGCGGCATGTCTGTCTCTCTGTCAGTTCGCACCTTATCCTTGTGCTTCGCCCCAGGATTCCATTCTGATTATGCGTGCAATCGATTAGGGACTCCTTCGTCCTTTGCCCATGTGAAGTTTTCAGCATCCCTGCGGGCCGTTTCTCAGAAAAACGCGGAAAACTCCAAGTTTTTCCCCAGTATGCGGTATGGCTGTCGCATGACGTCATGGTGGATCCAAGATGGCGGAGTAGCGCTGCACTCCACGCGGAATTCGAAAGTGTCATCGATTGAGATCGAGCCCTTTTGATGACTGCGGGCCTCCACTCTTGATTTCAGGAGTTTTTCTGGACTATTTGCTATCCCGATACTCGCATCGATTTCTCGTCTCCCGGAACGCTAGCCGAAAACCGAGACGCTCAACCATGAAGCATTGGGTGAAGATGTGAATCATAGCCACCAAGTTTTTACGGATGAACTTTCTCTCGGCATAGCGTTTCGGAGCCTCATAATTCAGCTTTTCGGAGCCTTTTAGCTCAAACTCGATACAACACTTTGGGCATTGATTCAAATATTCGAAAGCACTGATAGCCGTTTTTGCTAACAAGCGTTTCGGTTCCACTAACGAATTTCGATTCAAGTGCCCTGTCGTCTGTGACCTATCGTTGTATCGTGGTGTTCCCTGTGCATTTGTTGTTCTTTTCCTGTCTTCCGTGTATTCATGCTTTCCGTGACATATAACGCTTTCCCTGCATCCGTCGTTCTCGTACAGTAATTTCTGCGTTCGTCGTTTCGGTATCTTCTGTGCAGATTCGTCGTTTTAGGGGTGACTCCGCACGTCACCTGATTGTGAATCATCTGTCCAAAGGACAAAAAGCGGGGACGATTCCGATCATCTGTTCAGACTAGACAGAGCGGGAACGCTTCTCTTCCGAATATATCAACGGGCCCCAGCGATTGATTCGTCCCAGAGCGGTGTTTTCTGTGCACTCGCTGTTTTCGTGCTACTGTCTGCTATCATTCGTTGTATTTTAACCTTTTTCATTTAATCATGCTGAGACCCCGGCGTTCCCGTTTATAGCTTCCGTGCACATTCAAACTCCCCCATTTCTAATCGGAATATTCTGAGCCCCGTTCTATGAGGAGCGCCACTCGGCCGTCAACAACTCAGGTATTCCATATTCTTGCAGAAATGCGTTCGGGAATCCTTCCGCTCTGGACGCCGCCAAGGAATCGCTTGTGAATGTACCTCAGAGCAAGAACTTAAATTGAATCGAACAGTTTTCGCGTATGGCAAGGCCAGAGAAACGAGTTGAGTCTGACGGACGAGGTCGACATTCTCAAGAGGAATTTTGTCCGTGCAATGTAGCCGCTAATCCCCCGCCCTCCAGGTGAGTTCCTGGTATTGAGTTCCCGAA